TTTTATAAATGAGTAATCTATCTATCATTTTATAAAAAGAATAACCTTTTTATAAATTTAGAAACAAGATCATTAATTACATACTAAAAATACCATAATTAAATAAGTTTTAACTAAATGCCCATTTGTTTGAAAAAAAAAACCCTATTTATATGGATTCTTTTAGATATTTTTGGTATATATAAAAAAAAAACGAATAATTTATATGCATACGTAATTTTTTATTAAAGTTAATGTGAAATCAATAATTGATCTAACTCTATTGATTAAAATTTTCAAAAATTTTCAATCAATTATTTTGTTTCTACTTAATTTATTTTTATTTTTATTGATATGCTATCATAAGATTTGAAAAAATATTGGTCTATAAGATAAAAAATTTATAATTTAATTCTAAAAAATTAGTTGATAACTTTGAACGATAAAGTAACCGACAACAACTTTAGAAAATTACGAGATTATATATATAATATATTCATACATCAAATATATAAGGGAATTTAGTGTGTAGTCCAAATTTGAGTTCCAAAATTATAAGTCAAATAAGTAATTATTCATAACTTACGAGTCAGCATTAACTTTGACGACGTAAATGAAATAGTCAATTATTCATAGTTTAATAAAGGCTTAATTGCCGCCAGCATCACGACCTTTTACATTTTGGACATTTTAACCAAACCTTTGGAAATAGGCAAACATATCACGACCTTTTATAAAAATTGCAACCCGAACCCAAAAGTCTGTCGACGGTGAATTTTTGACAGCGTGTCCGGCGTCCGTTCCTTCGTGGCCTCGACTGCTCGCTGACTTGGCACAACCAAACCGACGTGTTAAAAACCCAAAATACACGTGTGATACACACAAAATAAAAACAGAATCGGGGCCAAATTGATGAAAAAATTCCCCAACTCTAGCCCCAAAATAAAACCCTAATTATTTCTTCCCCATATTTCGCAGCTAATTCCCTAACCCTAGCCCCAATTCGCAACCAATTATCCTCAAAAATCTCACCATATCTGTCTGAAAATGTCTTGCTCATCTCGTAGAAGCCAAAATTCCCAAAATAGTGGTGCCTCCAATGCGTCGATACGGAAGTTGTACGACCACGGTGAAGATGCGATCGTTCTCACCTCCATGACTGATGATAATCCATGTAGGAGGTTCTACAGATGTCCGAATAGAGAGGTAATGTAATTGCTGTCGAAATTTTTTTTTTTTCTGGTGAAATTTTTTTGCTGTCGAAATTTTTTTTTCTGGTGAATTTTTTTTGCTGTCGAATTTTTTTTCTGGTGAAATAGAGAGGAAGAATGTTCATAGTTGCTGTCGAAAATTTTTTTTTTTTGGTGAGAATTTGGCTGAGAATAGAATTCTGGTGAAATAGGATTTGTTTTGGTGAATTTGGCTGAATTTAGCTAAGTTAATGGTTCATAGTTGCTTTGAATTTTTTTACTGTGAATTTTTGCTTTCGAAATATTGCTTCGAGATTTCTCTTTCATTGATATGCAGAAACCTTGTCGCTTCTTTGAATGGATTGATCAATCATT